TTTTTTTTCCCAGCATCTTGATTCCAGTTTGTGCTTCATCCAGCCCAGCGTTTCTCATGATGTACTCTGCATACAAGTTAAATAAGCAGGGTGACAATAAACAGCCTTGATGTACTCCTTTCCCTATTTGGAACAGTCTGTTGTTCCATGTCCAGTTCTAATTGTTGCTTCCTGACCTGCATATAGATTTCTCAAGTGGCAGGTCAGGTGGTCTGCTATTCCCATCTCTTTAAGAATTTTCCAGAGTTTGTTTTGGTCCACACAGTCAAAGGGTTTGGCATAGTCAATAAAGCATAAATAGATATTTTTCTGGGACTCTCTTGCTTTTTTGATGATCCAGCGGATGTTGGCAATTTGATCTCTGGTTTCTCTGCCTTTTCTAAAACTTGAATATCTGGAAGCTCACGGTTTGAGAAAAGAAAAAAGTTAGTCTTTTTTCTTTTTGAACTGTTTTGAAGAAAAGCAGATTCCAAAGTAAATACATAGTTTCATTAACATAGCTTAAGAAAAATATTTCTGTAAGAAAAACACATTGGTTAGCTCGAGGCAGAACCAGGTGTCATTAACACAGAATTAAAAGAAGCCTCTTTTAATTTTGTGTAGAGAAGGAAAAAAATAGTCTTCCACCTACAGTTTATTTCCTTCTGCTGCTTGCGGACCTCTGGCCTTCCTGGTACCCTCTTAAAAATATCCACCACATCTAATTTTATCAAGATATTGGGTGGTGGGAGGGTCACTGATGCCAGTAATCTTTCAGAGGTACAGTTTTAGAGAAATGTGTTATGCATTGAATTGTGCTTTCTTCCTTCCCTTGTGCCATATATTGAAGTGGTGACCAACCAGTCAATCTTAAAGGAAATCAGTCCTGAATATTCATTGGAAGGACTGATGGTGAAGCTGAAACTCCAATACTTTGGCGATCTGATGTGAAAAACTGACTCATTGGAAGAAACCCTGATGCTGGGAAAGATTGAAGGCAGGAGGAGAAGGGGACGACAGAGGATGAGATTGAATTGCATCACTGACTCGATGGACATGAGTTTGAGTAAACTCCGGGAGTTTGTGATGGACAGGGAGGCCTGGCATGCTGCATTCTGTGGGGCTAGAAAGAGTTGCACACAACTGAGCGACTGAACTGAACTGAACTGAACTGAGCCTTCAGTGTTATGATCTTTGAAGACAGAGCCTTTGAGGAGGTAATTAAGATTTGTGTGTGTTAGTTGCTCATTAAACCACCTGGGGATGGTTTAATGAGGATATAAGGGTGGGGCCCTAGTCCAATGTGACTAGTGTCTTTCTAAGAAGAAAGGCTCCAGGTAACTAACTGCCTGCACAGTGAAAAGGCACGTGAGGACACACAGAGAAGGAGATAGCTGCAGGCCAAAGAAAGAGGCTTCAGGAGGATCTGAACCTGCTGCTGCCTCGATTTGGACTTGGAGCTGTGAGAAATCAATTTCTGCTGTCGCAGCCATTCATTCTGTGGTGTTTTATTATGGCAGTCCTAGCAAACCCAATACATCAGGTAACCTCTCTGTGCCTCTATTAACATTGTGAAAAAAACTACGTACTGCAGGTGATAATTCTTGTGGGTTTTTCCAATTCTGGATTCAGATGGTTCAGTTTACCTGTGGTTTTGGGGTTGGATAATGTGTGCCTGTCATATCAATTAAACGAATTAAAGGTCATTTGGGAGTTACAAGGCACATTTTGTGTAAAATCACATTTTTTTTATTGGCTTTATTTTATTTCATGTCTTTTGCTGAGAACGAGAAAGAGTCTATGATCTGACTTCACTATATTTTTTCTGGATGGCATGTAGCATACTGGTGCATTGAGAGCACACCATATGATAGAAAGCTGCTATAAATTTAATAATGTATTTTAAAATTTCTTTGTTATAATGAACTCAGTGCTGATTCTTTATCCGTAAGTCCAAATTGTATCCTCTGAATTTGTGTTATTTTGTTAATATCACTTTAAAAATGGGGTCCCCAGAATTTTATCCCATTTTCTAAATATGATTGAACCAGGGAAGAAAAGTTGTGGAAAAATAAGTTTTTATTAATGCACCTCAAGATTTCATTAGCTTTTTTGGTAGTCAGTCTTCCTGCAGTTGATCAGACATCAGTTCATCAGGAAGTGTCTCTTTTATGTCTATGCTAACATCTGTTGGATCACCGAAAAAATGAGAGAGTTCCAGAAAAATATCTACTTCTGCTTTATTGACTATGCCTTTGACTTTGTGGATCACAACAAACTGTGGAAAGTTCTTCAAGAGATGGGAATATCAGACCACCTGAACTGCCTCCTGAGAAATCCGTATGCAGGTCAAGAAACAACAGCTAGAACTAGACATGGAACAGCAGATTGGTTCCAAATTGGGAAAGGAATACATCAAGGATGTATATTGTCACCCTGCTTATGTAACTTATATGCAGAGTACATCATGAGAAATGCTGGACTGGATGAAGCACAAACTGGAATCAAGATTGCCGGGAGAAATATCAATAACCTCAGATATGCAGATGACACCACCCTTATGGCAGAAAGTGAAGAAGAACTAAAGAGCCTCTTGATGAAAGTGAAAGAGGAGAGTGAAAAAGTTGGCTTAAAACTCAACATTCAGAAAACTAAGATCATGGCATCTTGTCCTATCACTTCATGGCAAATAGATGGGGAAACAGTGACAACAGTGGCTGAGTTTATTTTCTTGGGCTCCAAAATCACTGCAGATGGTGACTGCAAACATGAAATTAAAACACGCTTGCTCCTTGGAAGAAAAGTTATGACCAATCTAGACAGCATGTTAAAAAGCAGAGACATTGCTTCTCTAACAAAGGTCCACCTAGTCAAAGCTATGGTTTTTCCAGTAGTTGTGTATGGATGTGAGAGTTGGACTGTAAAGAAAGTTGAGCGCTGAAGAATTGATGCTTTTGAACTGTGGTGTTGGAGGAGACTTTTGAGAGTCCCTTGGACTGCTAGGAGATCAAACCAGTCCATCTTAAAGGAAATCAGTCCTGAATATTCATTGGAAGGACAGATGCTGAAGCTGACACTCCAATATTTTGGCCACCTGATGTGAAGAACTGACTCATTTGAAAAGACCCTGATGCAGGGAAAGATTGAAGGTGGGAAGGGAAGGGGACGACAGTGGATGAGATGGTTGGAAGGCATCACCAACTCAATGGACATGAGTTTCAGTAAATTCTGGGAGTTGGTTATGGACAGGGAGGCCCGGCGTGCTGCAGTCCATGGGTTGCAAAGAATCAGACATGACTGAGTGACTGAATTGAACTGATAGAAGCCTATGCATTAGTCTCATCTGGGTTTGTAATAATTTGTTTCATAATTTATTTCCCTCACTTCACTCTGAGCAACATGTGGGCAGAGATGATGTTGTTTATCCTCTCTTTTTTTTTTTTTTTTTACTGAATCTTCAGGACCTAGTAAAATATCTGGTTCATAGAAAGATTCAACATATATTTGCTGAGTTAGATGAATGCATTTGTGTTGAAAAATTAAAATGTTAGCAAATCAATGGAGTTATTATTATGCTCCCACGTGCATTTGGGGAAAGCTTAAGGCTGTTCTGAATTACCTTAGTTTCAGTATCAGGTGGAGCACATTCTTGAATAGAACTTTGAGCAAACAGCTTGAAGATATATACAAATATATAGGTAGATCTTTAGAAGAATTATTTTATATCCAAACTGAATATAAAATAAACTTTACCTCTCAGTGTGGGCCAGAGAAAATATTTGAATAATTGTGACATAGTATGATTTTGTGTGCTTGTGTGTACGCACACAAGCATGAGGTGGGGGTAGGGGAGAGAAAGAGACAAACGGAGAATGTGCAGTGAGGAAAGGCGGAGAAGAGAGATAAAAATTTAAAAAGATTAGGACTCTGTGTTTGAAAGGCTTAGAATCTAGTGAGAATCGCTCAGTGGTTGGTGTCCAACTCTTTGCAACCCCAAGACTATACAGTCCATGAAATTCTCTAGGCCAGAATACTGGAGTGGGTAGCTTTTCCCTTCTCCAGGGGATCTTCCCAACCCCGGATCAAATCCAGGTCTCTCACACTGCAGGCAGATTCTTTACCAGCTGAGCCACTGGGAAAGCCCTAGAGTCTAGTGGAGGAGATCAACTGGGATGGGATTAAAGTACAGAATTATTAGAATAAGGAAACTGTGTAGTTTAGAACTGTGATTTAGCTTTACTGGAGGTAGCCAGGAAAACTTTCACAGATAAAATAAGATTTGATTTTAGCTCTGAGGAGGGAAGAATTAATGGTCTTCTTCAATAGCATTTCCTGGAGCAGGAAATGGCAACCCACTCTAGTACTCTTGCCTGGAAAATCCCATGGATGGAGGAGCCTGGTGGGCTGCAGTCCATGGGGTTGTGAAGAGTCGGACACAACTGAGTGACTGCCCTTTCACTTTTCACTTTCATGCGTTGGAGAAGGAAATGGCAACCCACTCCAGTGTTCTTGCCTGGAGAATCCCAGGGACGGGGGAGCCTGGTGGGCTGCCGTCTATGGGGTCGCACAGAGTCGGACACGACTGTAGCGGCAGCAATAGCATTTCCAGAGTTCAATTATTTGTTGAAGGTTTTATCATCACCTTTTTATTACTGAAACCGACATCTGTAGTGGAATATGTCTCTCTCATGTTCTAGACGACTGAAGAAATGACAGCCTGCGCCGAAGGTAGCAGCAGCCATGACGTGACAGCCGCATACACTTGGGGTTTGCCATTCGTGAACCGTGCGGCTTCAGTCGCGTCATTTACTCTTTCCAGGCCAAAGGATTTGATTAGTTAATCTTCACTGTTCCCTTTCAGTTCTGAGAATTTGTGAGCCTTCAGAAACAGGTGTTGGGTCCTGGTATAGAGCGGATTTTCCCATCTCACTGTTGGAAATTACACTTCCCTGTTCCCCACAGAGTGAAAGAAACATAGTTTGTGTATTACAACTACTTAGATTTTTTTGTTGTTATATTAAATGAATAATTTAGACTGTTCTGATGATGCTACAGTGAGGGCAAAAGCAGCCCTCTTAATTCTTTATCTGGGGGTTGTCTCTTACAGCGGCTACTGGCACTTTAACAAAAAGAACAGACCAAGAGGGCGCCGCCAAAGGACTCAGGTGCCCGCTAATCCGGCCTCTTCCGGGAAAGTCGACCGCAAGACCAGTCATAAGGCATCATGGGAAATGCAGTTTCTCCTTGAGTCGCTCTCTCCTAGTAACTCCTTGCTCTTGAGGATGAGGTGGACTACAACTCCCAGAGGGCCAAGCGGGAGCAGCGGGGCCCTGTACCTTCGCCGCGGCTGGGCGGCTAGTTCAAGTTGCCATAGCTGCGAGTCTGGGGAGAGCGGAATCGGTTGCGTCGCCGCGTCTGGTCAGTTACACCTTCTTGGGTCGCCGGTGGCCGCGGGAGCCGGGTGGGGCCTCGGCAATGACCCAGCGTTAAGGACCTGGGGTCCTCTTCTAGTTCAGGTAGCTTCCCTCAGCCGCCCCTCGCCCTTCCCTTACCACTTCCCTGTCGTGTCTTGACGTTTTGGGTCCCGCTTGCCCTGGTCCCGGGGGTCGGGACGCCGGAGCTGCGCGGAAGCCCTGGGCTGGGGCCGGGGGCGGGTCGGGTCTGTGGCGAAGCTGGGGAGACGGCGTGCCCGGCATCCCCACGCCCCCCTTCCCTCCGCATGCGTGTCCACAAGTCAGGTCCTGGTCAAATTATACGGGGAGTTCGAACTTGGCTGTCTTCTTTTCGAGAGCACAGCGCGTCCTGTGGCTAACAGCTGTGAAGACTGAGCTGTCCAGGGGGGCGGCCTCCTCCTGGCTTGTGCGTTGCCTGGCCTGGGAGGTAATTGGACGCTTCGTACCGGTTTTGGAGTCACAAAAACTTGCTACCCGCGGGAGCGCTGTCTATACCAGTGCCTTGTCTTCCTTTGCCAACATGGAAGTTGCCTCAGCGTCAGCTGTTAACAGTCCCTTCCAGGAGTTTATTTCCTGTGAACACCTGACCTTGAATTCCAGCCGCTCCCTCAGAGGCTTGATGGAGCTCAGTCGCTTCTGCGGACATTCTATAAAACCGCTTTGCAGCCTTTTGCCAAGTATCATGTCAAGTATCTAACCCAGGGCCTAGCCCCCAGGGAGGGCTCAGTGTTACTTTTTTTTTTTTATACAGAGCTGTGCCCATAGACACACAGTGTAAGCCACACATGCAAGTTTAAATTTTTTTAGTACCCACACTAAAGTAAAAAGGAGCTGGTGAAATTACTTTAAGTCAGTTTTTTGACACGATGTATCCAAAATGTTTTCATCTCTCAACATGAAGTCAGAACGAAACTGGAGATATTTCACATCCTAAAATAACAAAAAAAATGGACTAAATGTTCTGTGTATTTTATGTTTATAGCACTTTAGCCACTTTCGGCTAGTGACTGCTGTAGTTGACAGCATGACTTGAAACTTAACATTTTGGTAGTTTCATGTTGGCACAGAAATTTGTGTGTGTCCATGACTCATAGAATGAAGGTTGCTGTTTTGTTGAAAGAGTTGGCTATGCATCATGCCTACGTCCTGTCTGCTACTGCAGGACCTCTGGGTCACTTTGGACTCTCTCTTGACTGTTTATTTTGACTAAGAGAATACCTTTTTTATTTTTTTTCCTCTTGGAGTGATTTATAGATGTATTGTGATCTGCTTTTTATGTGGACAATTAACAATTTTATGTATAATTTTCTGTGGATTCTTACAGACTACTTTGAAAGGAGTCACAAAGAATTGAGAATATTTCTATCCACAGATCTTACAACCAAGGGCATTTTATTTTTACTTATTTAATTGCTGTACTGTGTTGGAAGAGCTGGGCAGTTTATAAAGTATTTCCTTTAGGAGTGCTAGTGTGTAGTTCATTTACTGGCTTAGAATACATTTGGGCCATTAAATTCAGAAATAATATGTTAAATTCATTACCTGCCTTAATTAATTTACCCACTAATAGACTTAGGGATAGTACTTCTGGCTAGACTTGGGCTACAGTTCACACTGCAGCATGATCTAGCCAGACTAAGGGTTGACCAGGGATGGGCGGAAGTCCCCAGCGAGGAGTATGCTGGCTGGGCACTTGGATGTGAAGAATTCCTGTGACTTCAGTGGAGCGTTTGCATGATCCAAGAAGCAATTTCTCTGTTCTCTGATTTGATGTGATTTATTCTCTGCCATGAGCACAAACTGTCCATAGGGTGAGCTTACTTTATCAATAACTGCTTAAAAATTTTTAAGGTTGTAGGTGTGTTTTACTCCTTGTTTCATTTATCTGTAGGTGGTTTGGGGAAAGTGTAGGGGCAACCAAAGATCCTCCACTTGACTAGGCCTCTTGCCCTGAACCTCATGAAGAAATGATAAGAGGCAGACATACGTGCCTAAGAAGAGCTCTGAGCTCAGAGGACAGCAGCCTGGAGTTTGGGGGGTATGCTTTGTAAGTATGCTTCCTCCCTCTTTGAGTTTTTGAGATGACACACTTCTGTATATTTATAGTGGAAAGGAATATGTCAACAAGTAGACCTTTAAGGGGCCGGAAACCCCTTTCTAACATTGCAGTATCAAGATTAAATAGGATGGTTGTACATGCAGTATTACAAAAATTGAGGGGAACAGACGGGATACCTCAGTGAAAGTGATAGTGATGCACCTGTTTCCACTAGACAAGTATTTGAGAACCTTTTTTTGTCTCAGGCACTATATTAGGCACATTTTACATGTTTTATAGGTTTATTTCCCCTATGGTTTAGACAGTAAAGAATCCGCCTATAATACAGGAGATCTAGGTTTGATCCCTGGGTTGGGAAGATCCCCTGGAGAAGGGAATGGCAACCCAATCCATTATTCTCGCCTGGAGAATTCCATGGACAAAGGAGCCTGTGGGCTACAGTCCATGAGGTAGCAAAGAGTCAGATACAACTGAGCATGCATGCACATGTGTGTATTGACACACACACACACACATATATGTATATAATACATCTATTATACTGCTGTTCATTTTATAAATGAGATTTAGATAGGCTATTAGATTTGCTTGGATTCTGGAGCCAAGAAAAATGGTCTTCATCCCCAGGTCCTCTGACTCCACATCCCAGGTGTGTCCACTACACGAGGCCACATGGTGGTCTCTGATTGTCTCCAATAGTTTGATTTATAGTTAGTATTTTTAGATTGTGTATCACGTAAGCAAAATTTGTTGTTCATCTCTTTAAATGTTCAAGGGGTTGTAGTATCTTTCTTACTTTTTTTATCCCCAAGATTTAATGGTCTTTATGGTATTATTGAGGTAAGAGATAATTGTATCTATGATTTCTATTGAATATAAATGTATGTATGCAACATGAATTGTCATTGATAGTCAGGAGGATAGTGTTAACTCAGGCTTTGCATCATGGATTTAGAATTTTGGACACTTTAGCATTTGCATGTTGCATTTTGATAGAGGGCACTTAAACATGTAGGGAAGACCCATTGGGGCCTTGTAAGAACACTTTGTTTAAGCTCTATGTGTGAAAGGTTCTTAGAATTAAAGAATATTAGAGCTGGAGTGGCCTGGTAGGATAATTTAGTCCCAAAGTTTTCAGCCACAGTCTTGACAAGTTTGGAAATAATATAAAAATAACAGAGTGGATTCACTGTTAACCATGTAATAATGTCACAGGGTTGATTCTAGTATGAAATATTTCAATATGTTCATACTATTCTAATAGTGTTTTTCTTTCTTGTAATAATGTATCATTATGTTAGCACACGTTTTTCCTTGTCTCTTTTAACTGCTACATAGTTTCCCAAATGGCTAGATACATTTATTGTATCCGTAATCAGTGGACTTGTGGGTTTTTTTTAAAATTATTATAAATAATTCTGCAATGAAGCTCTTTTACCTGACAGCTCAGTGGTATAGAATCTGCTTTCTAATAAAGGAGACATGGGTTCATTTCTTGGGTCAGAACGATCCCCTGCAGAAGAAAATGACATACCACTCCAGTATTCTTTTTTTTTCCCCATTTATTTTTATTAGTTGGAGGCTAATTACTTTACAATATTGTAGTGGTTTTTGCCATACATTGACATGAATCAGCCATGGATTTACATGTTCTACCCTTCCCAATCCCCCTCCCGCCTCCTTCCCCATCCCATCCCTCTGGGTCTTCCCAGTTCACCAGCCCTGAGCACTTGTCTCATGCATCCAACCTGGGCTGGTGATCTGTTTCACCCTTGATAGTATACTTGTTTCAATGCTATTCTCTCAGAACATCCCACCCTCCCCTTCTCCCACAGAGTCCAAAAGTCTGTTCTGTACATCTGTGTCTCTTTTTCTGTTTTGCATATAGGGTTATCATTACCATCTTTTTAAATTTCATATATATGCGTTAGTATACTGTATTGGTGTTTATCTTTCTGACTTACTTCAGTCTGTATAATGGGCTCCAGTTTCATCCATCTCATTAGAACTGATTCAAATGAATTCTTTTTAATGGCTGAGTAATATTCCATAGTGTATATGTACCACAGCTTCCTTATCCATTCGTCTGCTGATGGGCATCTAGGTTGCTTCCATGTCCTGGCTATGATAAATAGTGCTGTGATGAACATTGGGGTGCACGTGTCTCTTTCAGATCTGATTTCCTTGGTGTGTATGCCCAGGAGTGGGATTGCTGGGTCATATGGCAGTTCTATTTCCAGTTTTTTAAGGAATGTCCACACTGTTCTCCATAGTGGGTGTACTAGTTTGCATTCGCACCAACAGTGTAAGAGGGTTCCCTTTTCTCCACACCCTCTCCAGCATTTATTGCTTGTAGACTTTTGGATAGCAGCCATTCTGACTGGCGTGTAATGCTACCTCATTGCTGTTTTGATTTGCATTTCTCTGATAATGCCACTCCAGTATTCTTGCCTGGAAAATCCTGTCGATAGAGGAGCCTGTTGGGCTACAGTCCATGGGGTTGCGAAGAGTCGGACATGACTTAGTGACTTAACAACAACACATAAGATGTATACATACATTTTGTAATGCATCTTTTGTTTTCCTGGGATAATAGTCATAGAAGTAGAATCTCTGGATCAAAAAGTGCATATTATTTTTACTTGCCAGATTGTTCTCTAGAAAAACTGTCTTAGTTAATATCTTATAGCAAGATATGTCCTTTTGAATGCTGGTGGTGAGAGCTTTTGTTCATAGGTACAGAACAGATAAAAAGGAATATCATTATTTTAACTAGCTGTTTTTTAGTTAGTAAAATACAGTATCTTACATTTTTTTTTAGGGCCCTTTTTGTTCTTTGAATTGTCTCTTTATCTTTTGTACCTTTTACTGCTGGAATGTTCTTTTCTTCTTTTTTTTTTTTTTGAAATATGATAAATTCTTTGGTTTCCATATAATGCAAATATTTTACTAAGTTTCAGCTTTCATGTTCTAATCTTGTTCTTGTGTCTTATTAATAATTATT